TGCCATGTAGAACAGTCTCCAATTCCTTGGCTTTTCTTCCACTCCTAAAGGTGCCTTTCAGCCTCTAGTCTTGGGTAATGGTGTATTTGGAGGATCTTAGCCTATTTAAGGATTCCCCGACAAACACCATACCCAACCCTGAACTTCAACATTACTGGGTGAATTCCAAGATGTGAAAGATATTTAACCATTGAATGAAGGTTACTTCCCCATATTTGATCTTTTTGTTTAATTCTTTTCTTCAGAAACTCTGATTTAGCCAGGTACACACCTTTAACCCCAGTACTCAGGAGGCAGAAGCAGGTAGATCTCTGTGAGTTCCAAGCCAGACTGAGACACATAGTAAATTTTCCCTTCAGTTGGGTCATTAGCGATATTGGTGTTTATAGGTTCTTGGAAAGTGAAAATTTAGAGATTGATTTTTCATTGTTGTATTTCTCTGTTTGACTGTGTTTGTTTTGTTTTTTGATACAGGGTCTCTATTTAGCCCTGTCTGGCCTGGAACGAACCATGGAGACCTTTCTTGAACTCACAGAGATATGCCTACTTCTGCCTCCTAAGTGCTGTGGTTAAAGGTGATCTGGCTAAATCAGGGTTTATGACGGGAAGAATTAAGCAAAACATCAAATATAAGGAAGTAACCCCCATTCAGTGGTTAAATATCTTCTCTAGCTTCAGTATCCCAGAACTCTCTCTGCCTTCCTGCCCCTGTCCTCTATGAATCTATGGCCTTTTGCCTAGCAGTATTTCCAATGGGAACAGAAGTGGCCCCAGGCACTGACCGTATGGCCGTTGACACTTGCCTGGCCTTCTTGCCTGTCCATCCCAAACTGTCTCCTGGGTTTATTTATTTTCTATTCAATGTTGCTTATTTTGATGGCACATCCTTTCAGTCCAGTCTCGGGTGACCTCCTAACCCTTTTGTGTCCTGTTTATAGGACCCCGGGCAAGCACAGTAACTGAAAAGATGCTGTAGCTCCACAGCCCATCCCATTCTAGCAGCTATACAGGATACTCTGAAGATAGCCCAGGCACCCTAGAGGTCACAAAAATTCTCATCACCAAAGTGGTCATGGTTCCCTTCACTGGTGTGCACAGCCAGTCAGACTAGTGAGATGCACACAACAGAGGTGGACAGAGACAGCCCTAAGCATACAGACGTCAGCCCCTTAACTGCTGGGGCTCATTTCCTTATCTTCAAAATAGAATCTGAGACTGGTGAGATGGCTCAGAGAGCAAAAGAGCTTGCCACCAAACCTGATGACCTCGATCCTCAGAACCCACACGGTGGAAGGAGAGAAATGATTCCTACAAATCCTCTGACACCCCCCGCCACACACACACTTTTTTTTCTATGTAAGCTGCTTGGTACTCACTCTAGCTCAGGGCAGCCTAAAACTCATGGTAATCTTCCTGCCTCGGCCTCCTTATACCTAGGATTTTACAGGCTTGAGCCATACACATGACTTGGGTGTTGTTTTTTGGAACCAGCTACTTCAATAAATCTCTTTGGTCTTCTGGGATCTGAGTGGATCACAGCCAAGTCTCACAGAATTAAAAACATAAAAGGAAAAAATCTGGGAGATGGGTGACTGGAGCCTCCTGTTTTTGTTTTTGTTGTTTGTTTGTTTGTTTCAAGACAGGGTTTCTCTGTGTAGTCCTGACTTTCCCGGAACTCTCTGTAGACCAGGCTGGTCTTGAACTCAGAGACCCACCTGCCTCTCCTTCCCCAGTGTTGGGATTAAAGGCACGGGCCACCACCACCCAGGGCCTTCTGTTTTTCAAAAGCATGATGTTTAAAAATAGTATTTATTTGTTAATTGTGTGTGTGTGTGTGTGTGTAGGTCAGAGGACAGTTTATAGGAGTTGGTTCTTTCCTATCCTGAGGGTCCCACTTTGAATGTAGGTTATCAGTTTTACAACCACATCAAGTGCTTTACTCACTGAGCCTTCATTATTTATTATTTTATATTTTTTTTTATTTTTTTATTTTTTTTAACAACAGGTTCTCACTATGTAGCTAGGACTAGCCTTAAACCCACAGCGCAGTCCAGGCTTGCCTCTAATTCATAGTCCTACCTTAGCTTCCCAAGGACTGGGATTTCAGGTTTGTGGTACCTAACCAGAGCAACTTTTATTTTTACACACACACACACACACACACACACACACACACCAACACCCTTCTTGGAATGGGCACTTGATTCTACACACTTTCTCTTACCATTCTACAGGGCTTTCTCTTCCATGACAGCATGAAAAAGATGAGCCTTCAATTTTACAAATGAGATAGTAGTGGCTCTGAGGGAAGTAATTTGTTCCAGACTATAAAAATAAACCTTGAGAATAACAGACTTCCTCAAATACAACTCTAATAAGCAACACTGCATCCTTGAGACACATTGCCACAATTCTCACAAGACCCCCTTGGCACAAATGAATTAAAATATTTATTCAAAAAATTTATTAAGACCCTACTACTAGCCACTACCATCCATATGAAGGATATAGAAATGCATTCATCCAGTCCTTGATCTCAGAAATGTTCACAGGTCAGTGCAAAAGAGAGCTACAGTCTTGCAGACAACATATAAACAGTAAGTGGCAGCAGAGACAGAATTTTAGTAGCATTTTAGTAACAGGGAAGGATTATGCTTACAAGGAAGGTCTATAAAAGTCTCCCAAGAAACTGAAGCTAATGCTTAAAAAGATAAATAGAACCAGGCAGTGGTGGCGCGCGCCTTTAATCCCAGCCCAAGGGAGGTAGAGGCAGGTGGATCTCTGTGAGTTCAAGGCTGGCTTGGTCTATAGAGCGAGTTCCAGGACAGCTAAAGCTATACAGAGAAACCTTGTCTCAAACAACCAAAAGAAAGAACAGGGTAGATAAGGAGAAGGTACTATGCATTCCCAACAAAGGAAGAATGTATGCAAAGACACAGGCAAGTGAAAATAGCATCTGGGAAAAGTCAAAGTCATTCCACATAGCTGGCACAGAAAGCACATAGAATAAATGTGTAGAAGCTAAGCTGAAAAAGTATGAGGCAGGGGAATTAGCTCTGCATAGTTTCACTAAGTAACTGAGGGAAGGAGTTAGCATGTCACCCTTAGACTGCATTAATCTCTTTTCATGTTCAAAGTAATAGAGAGAAGAAGCCACTGAGAGAAAGGTGGCTTGAGAATCGTTTACAAGTTCTGGTTTAGTAATCTCTTTTCTCCAACAAAAACTAACACCTGGGACCAGCAAGATGGTTCACTGGGTAAAAGCATTTGCCACGTCAGGCAGCGGTAGCACACGCCTTTAATCCCAGCATTCGGGAGGTAGAGACAGATAGATCTTTGTGAGTTCTAGGACAACCTGGTCTACAGAGTGAGTTCCAGAACAGTCAAGGCCAAGAAACCCTGTCTCAAAAACAATCCAACAAACAAAAGCATTTGTCACACAATCCCAGGAAACCACAGTTGGTTTTAAGGAGAGAACCAACTTCTGAAAGTTGTGGCACATGTGTACCCTCTTATGTACACAATTCACACATACACATAATAATAAATAAAATACGTAAGCCAGGCAGTGGTGACGCATGCCTTTAATCCCAGCACTTGGGAGGCAGAGACAGGTGGATCTCTGTGAGTTTGAGGTCAGCCTGGACTACAAAGTGAGTTTCAGGACAGGCTCCAAAGCTACAGAGAAATCCTATCTTGAAAAACAAACAGAGCCGGGCGATGGTGGTGTATGCCTTTAATCCCAGCACTTGGGAGGCAGAGGCAGGTGGATCTCCGTGAGTTCGAGGTCAGCCTGGTCTACAAGAGCTAGTTCCAGGACAGGATCCAAAGCTACAGAGAAACCCTGCCTCGAAAAACCAAAAACCAAACAAACAAACAAACAAACAAACAAAACACGTGTGGCTCCTCCTGCTGCAGAGTATGAGTGTTCCAGTACAAGGATGGAGAACCCACCTCACACTTTTTCCTCTTAGCATTAAGACTCTGGGTGTGAGAGCTCAGCCATGGTTCAGAAGAAGACCTGAAAGTTCTCAACCAAGGACACTTGTTTTATGCCTCTCCCTGTGGATAATGCTAATTTTCCCCTTCAAGAAAGGTATGAGACATAGACTTTGTCCATGAAATGTTTACAATTAGTTTAAATGACAAAACATAAAAATGAACGATCCATATATATTATAAAAGCATTGTCTACTTTCATCATAAAGTAGCAACCTGGGTAACTGATATGTATAAATTTAAAATGGAGCAACAATACCAAGGTACTACCCACATAACCAATAAGTTCCAGAAGAGTCGAGAAGGGAAAGACCAATATTGACTGGTATTATCAAAGGTCACTATTATTAATACTCCCACTGTTTGGCATTCAGTGAATATTTCTTTTGGCCAAGCTCAATCCTTAGAAGGGAAACCTAGGCAGAAGCTTCTGACAGGCCACAATTATCTACTCCCCATTCATTCCTGTGCCAGTCCCCTTGTATAAACACTGTGATTTTCCACAGTCTGGTGTGCCCACAAGACAGTCCCCAAATGGTAGCCCTGGGCTTTTTACACCTTCCTCTATCGCTGGATGCTAAAGAGACTAGACAATGAACAAATGACCACCCTTCTACACAATTCAGATCTCAACAAGCAGAAGTTAATACTGGCCAACCCACCTCTCCAACATTAAAGAATTTTAAATGACATATCACATGCCACCTTAACAGATGTCGACAAGGAAAAGCCCACTTTTGCCTTTTCACTTCTGTCCCCACCTTCTCCACACACATCTCAACTTCATCAAACTTTCCACAAGCAACTTTTTCAGGCAAAGGGCTTTCCAACCACACAAGCCACCTAACGCCCAAAATGCAGGTTGCCACCCAGGCACTCTGCCCAAATTTGAAGAAGAAGGAGGAGGAAGAGGAAGAGGAGGAGGAGGAGGAGGAGAAGGAGAGGAAGAGGAGGAAGAGGAGAAGGAGGAGAAGGAAGAGGGGAAAGAACAAATACCTTACCTGTACCATAAACTGTTCCAAGAAAGAATGTTCTTCAAATGGCTCTGTCTTCAATCGACCTGTAATGAAGAAGAGATAAAGGAAACATGAGCCTAAGGGTAGGTTTCATAACTGTCAGATGATAGGGAAGAGAGCCCAGGACTTGTAGGAAAAGAAGCCAAAGACCTGCCACCCGCAGAGCCCTGGGTCAGAGAGAAGAGGGGGAGGGTTGGGGACAGGAGGAGGGACTGGGGGTGATTAGCAACAACGACTCAGCAGAGCGTCCGCTCTAGGTGTTCCTGCCACAAGGACGAAGGCTGTGTAGAGCTTTTATTCTGAAACTAGAGCTATAGCGGTTCCTTGGCTCTGGAGCTCACATTGTGCTGACACAATTTTGAAGAGCTGTTGGCCCTTTCTGAAGTCTTTTCTCCCCATTGTCTAGGACATGTCTGGACCTGGTTATGGCTTCTGCTGGCTACATGGGCCTCAGCCAGGTACCTGAGGCAGGTAGAAGGGACATCCAGTAAGAAGTCCCCAGCTGCTAGAGTTCCTAGCAAATATCCTTGGAGAGAAAATTTTGTTTGTTGTTTGGGGTTTTTGTTTTGTTTGGGACAGGGTCTAATGAACCCCAGGCTAACTCTGAACTTACTGTGTAGCCAAGGATAACGCCCTGCTCCTACCTCGAGTGCTGGGACCAACACTCCCATTTATGCAGTCCTAAGGGTCAATCCCAGCAGCTGGCTTATGCTAAGCAAGCACCCCACCAACTGACCAACACCTCTAGCTCAAGAAGTATTTTTAATGCAAATTATACTCCCCTTTTCTAAGACCCTTAGACTACTACTTCCCACCCATTCCTCCAATGCCCTCTTACTTCGGCTCAGCACAGCCCCACTCTCCTGGTAGCCCTGGATCTCTAGGTCCTTCATCCGAAGCAATGCTGCTAGCTCCCTCCCGTGACACAGCAAAGCCAGGCTCACACCCATCAGAGGACGAATCAAATGCTGAGAGACCTTTGATGAAGAAGAAGTATCAATTAGCCAACAATTGCTTGCAAAGTATTCCCAAATGCTGCACTAGTTACTAGAAGAAAAATACTCAGGAATAGACATTTTCACAGTAACTTAAAATTTCATAGACAAGCAATTCATTTACATGAATAAATACAATAGTTAAATTTACATATTAAAGAAACTTAGGGATTTTTTTTTTTGTGGCCCAGATATGGCATGGGAAGAATAAAGCAAGAATAGGGATAGACAGAAAATCTACAGTTCGAATTTAAAGAAAAAGATATATGAGCTGGAGAGATCATTCAGTGCTTAAGAAGACACGGGTTCAAAAAAAAAGAAAAAAAAAGACAAGAGTTCTATTTCCAGCACCCACTTGACAGCTCACACCTGTCTGCAACTCCAGATCAGGGGATCATGTGCTCTCTATTGGCTCCCACAGATCCTGCATGCACAGGATGCACAGACATACATGAAGGCAAAACACTCATGCACATACAAAAACAAAAGTCTTAAAAATAAACAAATGAAAAGGATGTAGTTGAGAAGAGGGACAGGCTGACTTAATTCTCTACAGAAGATAAGAGCGGAAGATTCAAGAAATCCTCAAGAAAGGGGTGTGGTTGAAACAGCACACCAACAGGAGGGAAAAAACCAACAGGAAGTGGAAAGCAGTGAAATCTGATCTAGATAAGGGCCATTTCAGGGCTGGTAAGAGACCAGAGTTTCAACCTATTCCCACATACAACAGAATCAACCTATTCCCACATACAGCAGAATTTAAAAGTACTGTTGTTTTTTTTTAAAAAAAAAAAAAGCCAGTTACCAAGAGACTAGAGTGAGAAGACACGAGCCAGCCCACTTTACAGAGTACAGTTACACGGAGCACTCATACAATAACGTATGGTCACACAGGAGCACTTAAGTCACCTAAGCAAGGTGTCTGCTAGCCTGTGGCTAGAGGATGTCATCAGCTTCTTTTGCTTCCACCAAGGGCATGAACTAAAGGAGACACTGAGCAAAAGATATGCCCTAGATCAGGGGGTCAGCGAGCTTTTCTCAGCAAAAGCCAGATAGTCAATATTTTCAGCGTTGTGGCCCACGGAGTCTCTGCCGCAACTACTCAACTTTGCTGTTGCGGCACGCGAAAGCAGCCACAGACAATATGTAAACAAATGAGGTGGCTGTGCTCCAATATAACTCTACAACAGCAGGCAGCAGGCCAGGCTTAGCCTGCTGACCATGGTATGCTCATCCCTGGTTAGATCTGAAAAGGGAACATTTTAGACAAGGTACCCCAACATGGGCTTGAAATACGAAGCAGGTATACAAGCATCCCATCTGAGGCACCAGGCAGACTCACCTGGGTTAGAATCCCAAGAAATGATTCCCTCTAGATGCCTAAGTTTTTGTTTCCCATTAAGTCTAGAGAAAACTAAAAGTGCAGCTTGTGTCCCTATATTTCTCTAAAGATGAGTCAGAAGAGAAAAAGGACTGGATGTGGAAGTATGGGTGGGCAGATAAGAGTGGTAGATTTGTGCCAATATCCGAGAAATGTAGGTATCCGGCACAGGGTAGAAGGCCAGAGTCAAGTCCAGATATACACAGTTTTTATTATTACTATTTTTTTGTCACTGGCACATCCCAACCTGGTTCTGTTGCCTATCCTAGGTCCTCAGGAAGGACTTAGGCCTCCAAAAAGTACCACTCACAACTCCCGGCTTTAAGCCATATCCTGAGCCTGTGAGGCTGCTCAGCAAGCTGCCAAGCTTGATGACCAGAATTCAGTCTCCCAGACCCACATGGTAGAAGGAGAGCTCATTCCTGCAAGCTGCCCTCTGACCTCCACATGTACACTGTAGCACGCGTGCATACACATAATAGTTAACTCAAAACAGTGATTTTTTAAAAAATAAGCATTAAAAAAATAAGATGGCCTAGGCTCAACTCTGTGCCCTAGGAATTATTTTGATAAGTTTGGTCCTGGTCAAGGTAGATTAGAAAAACAGGCAAATAATTGTATGAAAGCCAATAGAGGTTTGGTGGATTGAGCTGAAAATAATTATCATTGCTAACCAAGCAGCCACAGTGGCCCTTTGGTGGCACCCCTCAAATAAGAGAAACTCCTAATGTTAACAACCAATCTCTCACTATGGTGGGCTGGGAAGCACCACCTTCGAGATGCTAAATGGAACAACATGAAATGTGGCAAGGAATAGTTTTTAACCACTGCCATGTTTTTTAAATAGAATATCATGGTCTCAGGCAACTGAAATGATCTATTACATCTATATAGAAAAAAAGTGTTTTTTAATCGGGAAATATTTCAACTTCCCAAATAATTTCACACCACTTGAATTCCTGAGCTATAATTAATTTCAAAGTTAGAGGAACATTAAAATGATTTTTCTTGGGCCTGAGAGGGTTTCTATGTTTTTAAACTTAGATGAATGCTGATTAGAAGTCCCCAAAATATGTATTAATGGCCATAATAAAGATTGGGATAAAAATAAAAAATAAAATAAAAGACAAGCAACCACGTAAAAAGATCAGTATACCTCCAAAGGCATAACATGAAAAACCATGCAGTACTTCAGGTAAGGGATATTCCCTTTCATTCATGGAAAGCAAAATATGAAGACATGCTTACAAGCCTCTGCATGTGAAGAGCTCTGTGACAGGCCGGCAGTGGTTGGTACAATAGAAGTTACCATTCTTCCCCAGAGAGGGAAACACTGTAAACCCACCCCCTAAAGTCTTCTGATTTCCGACAGAATGTTTGTGAGTCCTAGGCAGGAGACAGCTGGCCCCCAATGAGCTATATCAGAGAGAAAAGTGAAAACTATCAGCAGGCAGGAGAATTAGGAGACAGATCCGAGTCCTGGCTCTGCCAGCATCTCATACGGCCTCAGCTTTCACTGTCCTTATCCTATGGTAATGCTGCACATGTCCTCTGTTTTAATCATCATAAGCCCATAGTAATGTTGTAACTAGCATTTGATAGATGGAAAATTGAGTCATAAAAATTCTAGTCCCAACTCAAGGTAATATATATAATATAAAGGTAGTGGGGTTGATTGTGAATTTGTTTTCTGGTTCTAAAGCTTGTGTTCTTCCTACTATTAAGAAACTCTGGACCCCTAGGAATCATTAAAAAAAAATGGTGACAAATCTGAAAGTGAAAATACAGAATATCAAGAATTATATTAGATGCACACCTGTAATCTCAGCAACAGGAGGCTGGAGCAGGAAAATCACAAGTTTGAGGACAGTCTGAGTCATATTTTGAAGCTTAGTCTCAAACACAAACACAGGGGCTGGAGAGATGGCTCAGCAGCTAAGAGCACTGGTTGCTGCTCTTGCAGAGGACCTGTGTTCAGTCCCCAACACACATACAGTGTTTCACAGCTGTCTGTAACTCCAATTCCAGGAAATGAGATGCCATCTCTGACCTCTTTGGACACCAGCACGCACATGGTACACAGACATACATGTGCAACACTCATACACATAAAATAAATAAATCTAATAAAAGAAAACAGACAGAAAAGGTAGGGAAAGTTGTATTAGATACTAGAAGTAACAGACAATAGGAAAAAGGGATCAGTAAAACTTGTTACAAAGGGAGACAGAGGCAGAATCATGAAGCAGAGACCCAAAGCCTTATGTATTCCACAATTATGACAGAGAATTAAGAACTATTAAGTCCCTTAGAGCTAATAACACATGTGATGGCTCGCACCTGAAATCTCAGCATCTGGGAAACAGTAGAGGCAGAAGTATTTCACACCTGAGCTGGGCTACACAGCAATATTCCATCAAGGAAGAAGAAAATAAGTCCAAGAATGTGCCTCAGCTCAGAGTATCTTGAATGCATGAAGCCCTGGGTTCAATCCCCAGCACACAGAGAACCAGGCAGCACACCTGGAATCCCAGCGCTGAGGAGGTGAAAGCAAGAGAAAGGTTGAAGGGCTACATTGTGATTTTGAGGATAGCTTGGACTACATAAGACTCAGAGAGAGAGAGAGAGAGAGAGAGAGAGAGAGAGAGAGAGAGAGAGAGAGAGA